TATGTTGTCTCGGTTTCTTTCATAGCAAGATTTAAGATCATCCAAAAAAAAAAAAAAAAAGAGTAAAAACGAAAGGAGAAAAGGGGGCCATACTTGATAAGAGGGGTGGCAGTGGCTGGAGGAAGAACCTTCACCAGCGCACCAAGCAACTTGGCATTCGTAATGGCCACAGAGTCTATCGGGGTAATTAGATATGTAACGAACTTTTTGTAGGCTGTCATAGAACCTACCCGTTTGGTCGCTAGCGTCGTCATCGATGAGTGCAAGAATAGAATTCTTGGAAGCCTCGCTCATGTTAGCACCGGCCTTGCTAACCACCTCTTGGAGAGCCTTCATCATGGCATTTCTGACGCCAACATCGGCGGTCTTGGTTCCCGTAATAAGCTCTGATCTCTAGGTCAGTACCAATTCCGTATTCACAGTCTAGGAAAAAAAAGGAAAGCTGTACCGGCAATAAGGGGATCAACTCTTGGAGTCAATGTGATCAGAATTCCAAGACCCTTGGCAGCCCTGTCACGCAAAGTTTCGCTGGTCGTGTCTGCCAAACCTCTAGCAAACGTACGCTGAAGCTGTGGCAGGAATGGCTTGACAGCAAGTGGGATCTTTCCCAAAAGCTTGTTGAGAGTGTAAAAGATAGCGCCTAATCGATAAGATTAGCTTGCTGTCAATAACTTCACAAAGAAGCACGAATGACTTACACTTAATATCTACCGATCGCTCAGACACCACTCGAATGAGAGGACCTGTGATCTGCGTCACGAATAGCTTCAAGGAATCTGCTGCAGTACGATCAATGATGTCACCAATGGCAAGAGCCGCCTGGGTACGCTGCTCAACACTGCCGTTGAGAAGAGCCTGCAGGAAGATCGGCAGGATAGCGGTGATGCCCTTTGGTAAGCTGAAACCAGGAAGGTTGGCTCCGGGCACACCTACACCCCGCAGCACTTGACGAGTGGGGATGGCTAACACCTCCATTTCCTCTTTACGCATATGGGATGTTAGACCACTCAGTGCCGTCCATGCGGCCTTGACAACACCCTTGTCATTGTCATCGAAGGAAATCAGCAAGACGCGAATCAAGTCCTGGTGATATCTAGAGTAGTCGATTGTTGCATCCGAGAAGAACTTGTTCAAGTGAACTGCCGCCTGAGCACGGCGCAGATGATCATCATGCTTCATTAGCGACAGCATGACATTCATAACAACGTTCAGGCCATCAAATTCATCCACTGATACCAAGACAGTGTCGAATGCGTTGCACAACTCGTCGCGGAGGGCATCGTCTGTAGTTGATATGATGTTGTCCATCAAAGAGTTCAGGATTGTGGGGAGTCTGCGTGACATCGCAGAGCCTGCCACCTCAGCAAGGGAAGCAAGTGCCTTGGCGTTGAAAGCAGAAATAGGAGAGGTGAGCAGTGTCGGGATAAGGTTGGGAAGGATAATGTTCGCCCGTGTTTGTTCAGTGAGAAGAGTCAAAAGGGCTGACAGTGCTTGCTCAGCATCTTCCTCATTCCTTAATAGGAGCAGAAGATGGGGCAGAACCTGGTCCACAGCCTTCTTGCCCAGAATTTGTTGTAGAGCGTCGAAAGCTTCTGCAGCAGCTTCACGCACATCCTCATCGTTATCAACAAGAGCCACCCGAACGGTAGAGATGAGGACCTTCTCATAATCCTCAAGGGCTTCAGCAGTTGCGGAAGTAATGAGTTCCCGCAAGGCAATGCAAATGCCTTGCTTAACGTCCACATCTGGCGATGTTTGGAGCCCTTCCTCGAGGGAAGGAAGCAAACTCGAGAGAACAGTTTCGCCGGCTTTCTTGATAAGATCTCCAAGTGCATTACTGGCAATGACCTTCTGTTCCATGTTCGAGGATCCAAGACGACGAATAATAAGCTGGGATAGAGTAGGCACCATATCCTTAAGTGTTTTCGGAGACGCAACAAGCGCCTTCCAGACACCCATCGCTGCGCCCTTGACAAGACCCGAGGTATCGCAGCGGCAGATGAACAAGGCAGATAGAACCCTGTTCCTTCTTTCTTCTCCAAGAACCTCCAGCAAGGACTGTCCGGCCTGGTGGGCTTCTTCTTCCTCCTCTTCTTCGCCATCAGCCTTGGCCGTAATACCAGTAATGCTGAAGAGAAGATCACCGACCAGCTCAACCGAGCTCAACCGGATACGGTAACTGTCGTCTGCAAGGCCGCGCTCGAGCTCTGGGAGAAGGAGATCAATAGCCTTGGAAGAGAAATTCTTAACCAGCAAACGACCAGCTTTAAGAGAGGTTTCGCGGATAGAGTCAACATCGTCAGCCAGACCAGAGAGGATAGGCGGGATAATCTTGCCCAGGTAAGTCGCAAAGCTGTTACCGAAACAAGCTGGAAGGAAGATAAAGAGAGTCATGAAACCTTCACGAACAGCTGGTTTGGAGCTGGAAACGTTCTGTAGTATAGTAGGCAGTGTCTCCTCGAGTCTCGTAGTACCCAATCCTGCCAGAACCTCGGAAAGGGCTTGAGCAGATCCTAATCTATCACCGGCGCCGGTGTCGGATTTGAGAGTCGACATGAGGTTAGGAATGAGGTCGGGAAGGGCATCTTCTCCAAGTTTCTCAATAAGTGATCCAAGGGCCTTAGAGGCAGTAGCACGTGTAGTGGGCACAGGATCGACGATAGCCAGTTGAAGTCCAGAGACAATGATTGGCAAGTGTGATATGAGATCTTTGCGCTCGGTAAGATGGGCCAAACTACCAATAATCTGCGCAGACTTCCGCTTTGTATTCGATCTGTCGCCAAGACCACGCTCCAAAATACGAACAACAAGCGCCAGGGAAGGAGCATCTAGGTAGTGAACGAAAGAAACCTTGATAAGGGAATCCAAAGCCTCGTCCGTATGCTTCGTTGGATCGCTCAGAGCTTTCAGAAGCACGCTAACCAAGCTCTTGATCTCTGGGTTACTGATAACCTCACCGAAACGTTGGAGACTTCGGTTTGCAGCGTTACGCACTTCCTTGTGCGTATCGTTCAGGACAACGGTGAGGGGAGGAATAATATCAGGCAGGCTTGCTGCTAGTTGCTGCGGATCAAGGTAGGCCATCGCACCCAGCAGATCACAGGCACCCTTTTGACTACGCCATTGGGTATCATCAAGACCGTCAAGAAGGGTAGGAAGGATTTTCTTGACGCCATACGAACTGAGGTTGGAAAAGCAAGCCTTTGCCGCATCAAGACAAGCGTCACGAACATCAGCATTGGGATCACCAAAGCTAGCCAAAAGCTGCGGAACGATCTGAATAACATATGGTTCAAAAGTGCGGCCTAGGATTGTCGCAAAAAGTTCGTAAGCCAGTAGAGCGCCTTGTCTCTGATGTGGCTCCTTCTTATTTTCAGTGGCTGCGCGAAGATGGGCCATGATCTGGAATTCTCGTAAAGATAAGACACCCCTTCCACTGACAATGCCAGCAAGCCCATAAGCTGCTCCACGTTGAGTGGCATACTTCTTGGACTGCAAAAGCTGGTCCAGCATTTCCTGCACATAGCCAGCACTTTGAGAGCCCGACAGTCTGATGAGAGGCGGTAGGCATCCAGAAACAGCGGATTGAACAGATTCAGAAGGAGTTGGGAGGGTAGCAAGCAGCCTCTTGATGACAGTTTGCAAACGCGGATCGTCTGCTTTAAGATGCCGGGCCAGAGAGCCATAAAGAACAACCACCGCCTCGTTGAGAAGGTCAGAGGTCTCACTTCCCTTATCTGATGTTTCCAGAGTCGTTTCTAAGATATTCATCAATTCTTCAACCTTGTGCTGGCCACGGTCGGCGATGACAGATCTGCCGCTATCAGCCATCTGGGCTCTGACCACAGGGCTTCGGTCAATCAGAGGCCCTCTTTCGATCAAGAATCTGAGGAAAGACAAAATCTGTTCGCCCTCAAACCCGTTCGTCATGGCGGTAAAAGCGAGGGCAATACCGCTGCGGAATTCCCAATGATCGGCCATGTCCATTTTCTTGGGCATCCCATACATATCCTTTTCTGGCACCTTAGGCTTGGCCTCGCTTTCGTACTTAGCTTGCAGTTCCGAAAATATTTCCTCAAACTTGGTTGGATTGGACTCAAGGGCATGTGCCAACGCACGAGCAGCGGCACCGCGGAGCTGGGAGTCCTTGGACGCAAGATACGGAATAATTTTACCGTAGGAAGAGTCATCGACTTCCAGTGCATTATCATCCCAGATTGTCTCGGCTATTTCGGCGTTTTCTTCCACGTGGTCATGGCATTCTAGCCAAACGTGTTCAGAGAAGTCTAGGTCGGTCAGGTCAATCTCGGCATCGATAGCCTGCAGTACAGCTGTGCGAACAGATGTGTCTGAAACGATGGTACCTTGCAGAAGAACGTCCAGTTCTGCATTGTTGATAGTGGGTGAGATACACTTGCAGAAATCGAATAGAGTATCCTTAATCAATTTGTAATGCTGAGTATACTTTTGCATTGATATGAGCAAGTGATCTAGAACATCAGCACGGGGGAGACGTTTGTCGGTAAATGACCCCGAATGGAAGGATAGGAACTCAAGCGCAAGCAGAACTTGTTCACCTTCCTCCTCTCCCTTTTGTTCATCAATTCCGTTTCCACTAAGAACAAGGAGAACAAGTGGAAGAATGTATGCTAGAGATGTGATATCAAAAGGTCGTTGCTCGGATGCAAACCGCAGACGATAAAGAATTCTTGTCACAAGTTGACCGAGGGGTTCTGCATCCATCTCGGGGGAAAGTTGGCTCCTGCCAAGTGCCCGCAGAGTTGCAACGCCCACGAAGGATCGTAACGGGCCCAATCGTGAAGAGACCTTCTCCGCACACTTGATATAGGCCTTAGACACGACATCACCGGCAATTAAGCCTGCACCAGCCTTCACGAGAGACAGTAAAGATCCCACTGCGGTATTGATCCAGCCATCTGCTTCGACAGCCGGACCGCTTGCAAGACCCTGCATGATCCCAGCGCCTCTTTCAATCCTTTTAATTTCCCGCAGAACTTCTTCACGAATCTTGGACTCTTTCGCGAGCTGGGCTTTCACTTTAGATTGCTCATCCGCTGTCAGTTTCTTTTGTTTCTGGCCCTTTTTCTCTGCTAGTTGTGCTCGTAACTCCTCTTCCCACTTGAGAATGCCATAGTCTTTCGTGTTCTTGTCGAAAGCAGGCTTCGACTTGGTGCTAAGGACATCAACAAACATGGTTCCTTCGGGGGTCCGAGCAATAGCAACGTCAGTTGGAGTGAACTTGGACACACGTGAGGCATCCAAATCGTCCTTGATCTGAGCCACAAGTCGGGAAACCATAGCGTCAGGCGCCACGAAAGCCAACTCGCCGGCAGCGCTCCAGATAGCATCGTCGATTTGAGGAACCCTGGATTGAATTGGGTCATTATGCACCCGTGTCAATTGATTCATAGACTCATCGGCGAATTCGCGGACGAGGTTGCCAGGGTCAATGCCAGTTCTCAGGCATAGCGTAATCCATGAGACATTCGGGATCAGCTCAGGACGGCCAATAACGATGAGCTCGATAAGCTGGTTCTTCAATTCTGCAGAGGCCTTCTCTTGTTCCGGAAGACTTGATACAGGTGAACAAATGGCTTTCATTACCAAATGAAGGAATTTCAGGCTTTCCGATCCTGCAGAAACAGGCGCAGACTCTTTCTCAGAAGTTCTCAGAGAAAGTATCCAGCCCCACAAAGAATCTATTACGATGCGACCGATGAATCCTACTCGTTTAAGATGAACTTCTGATAGGATGCTAGCGGAACGCTCTCGGAAGTTTGAATGAAGCCCGGGGATAGTGATGGTATAAATAAACGCCTGGCCCCATGCAATTTTGGCTGCGTCTTCCGCACTCTCAAACTTCGTTCCAGAAGACACAGCTGCAAGTGTTCTCGTAACCCACTCGACCTCTCCTTGGGTGGTCAACTTTGAATAAGCTTTTGGGTTAAGCAGTAGAGATGGCTTGGGGCTAAGGACCATCATCTGGGCCACCAATTCTTCCCATGTGACTTTATCGAATCCTTGTACTGAAGACAACCGCTCAGCAAGTGCAAGAAAGACATAGGCCGTCGATAACGAGCCATTCTGGGCCGACGGCAAGGGATTAGAAGCCACTTCGTTGAACAGATCTTTCATTTTACACATGAATTTGGTCACGAACGGCTCAACTTCAGCACTAACTAGGGTTGCTGAATCGGCGCTCCAGAGCAATTCTCCCACATTGAGCTGCCAGAGCTTTCGGAACGGAATTCTTTTCTCTGCAGATCCCTTCACGATGGCGTTGATAACATCATCGTTGACTTTTACCTTGTGTTGGACGAGAAATGCTAGATGTTTACAAAATGCTTTGATTTCCTGTTCCAGCGCAGCTTCGTTGGATTCTCGTGCGAATACAGGAACAAACCCCTGGACCACCTCCTTCGAGACATCAGTGGAAGGCAGCGTAGCCGAGAGTGCCTGAGCATACACGGCGCGCTGCTCGGGGTTTGTTATTTTCTGAGTCTTCAAAGGACCAACAACTTCGGTTGTGACTTTAAGAAGCAAGTTTTCAGTTTTCGACCTTGAGAGCAGTGACTCAAACGACTGAACAGCACCCTGTCTGGTGGCTGCATTGTTGGACTTCATGCTGGAAAGAAGGTGCTTCAACAGTTTTGAATGCAGAATATCTGACAAGTCCATCTGTTCGGGTAATGACGAGCATAATGAAGGTACAAGCCCGCTGAGAACCACCTCCGGGGAACGCAAAATAGCTTTTTCTAGGGGTGGTACTATGTCGGACACCACATCCTCGTATGAGACGAAAGAGATGAAGAAGTCGGAGAGAGCATCTGCAATGTGGGCTGGTGGTGCGGTTTTCGACCCTGCTAATTCCTTGACATAGAAATTGATAATCGACTTCTTTTCCCCTTCCAAAACAGGTTTCTTGTCCGGAAGGCGGGCGCACACGCCGGAGATGACTCCCAGGAAGGGAGCATTCTTCTGTCCCGAAGTTGAATCGCTAGTCAAACGACGAGTAGACTGGCTGACGGCATCCTCGCCCCAAGTTCCCGACGAGAAAACGGCCCGCAGCGCACGTCTCGTGACTCTGAGGGCCGACTGCTTCACTGAAAGCTTGGGGTTAGAGGCCAAACAAATCTCAAGTACCTTCGCATCCGCCGCGATAATGTCTAATACGGCTGAAAGCGGTGTTTCAGGATCATTGCTTAGAGCCTGTAAGATAACCGAGCACCATTCCAGCAGCACGAGCGCAGAGGCAGATGATAATGCAGGTCTAGACACCTCTGCTTGCAGCTTCTGTGTGAGATATTTTAGGTCGTCGGTCGGGACCGGGGCCTTGAGAAGCGAGCGGAGACACTGCTGTACAGCTTGACGGGAGGGGCGATCGACATAGCGAGGATAGGTCTTGAAGAGGAGCCCAAGGAGAGGCTCACGGGTTTGTTGTGGGAGATCCGACCCTACAGAGTGAAGGATTAGCGAGGGATCATACGAGAGGGGTTGCTTGGGGTCAATTTACCGATTCTCTCGCGGAGTTCCTGGAGAGCACGAATTCTGCGAGATGTCGAACTCGAAAAGAGAACGATCAACAGGCTCTCTAGGTCTCCAGATTTCACCTGATCCCATGGAAAGTCGTCCATGTTAGGAACCCTGGGGCATGTCGAGGTGAGGGATGTTGATTAGATTCCACGGGGAAGGAACGGAATTGAGTTGAATTGCCTTTCGCTGCCGCCGATGTTGTCATAAAAGTTTTCGGCGTGGTTTTATTGTGGGGAAATCGTCCAAAGCTCCAGTTGATGACCACCATTTAATTCCCACACTCTTGATGTTGCATTCCACTAACAATCCCTCACTCGTTTAATAGACTAATATCTATTTTAGAGATCTCTAACTTTCTCCTATTCTGAACCCCGAGATCATTCATTAACCCCCCCATCTTTCTCTCTCAGCAGTGGCCAAGGCCATATCCCCTCCTCGCAACTATGCCGCCTAACAATAAGAAAAAGAAGAAGCCCGCCGCGAACCCAGCTCGTGGGTTTGCAACCGTTTCGGTACCTTCCAAGCCTAAATCGACTAACTCCACAGCTCCGGCATCGACAGCAGAATCCAAATCGGTCTCAGAGAGTGAGCGGCCAACCCCAGCGGAAAGCAGCCGACCTGCGACGGAGACACAGGACGCTCCATCCTTACAGAATTACTCACCTGAGGAACTTGAGAGACATCTTGAGGATGCGGAGCTGCAAATCATGGTTGAGAAATATGCCTCTAGGTGCAAGAATGATGCAGTCCGTCAAGTTTCGAAATTGGAAACGGAACGACGGATACTCCGGCAACAAGCCTTCTCGTTAAGTCTTTTAGAATGGTTTCCTGCTGAAGTGCTGGACTCAATTCTTAAACTTGCTGAGACAGAAGAGCATGAATTGAGCCCATCCTCGGTACGGGACTCGAATACAGTGAAAAAGCCTGGCTCAGAAGAAGACCTGTACATGAAATTGTGGACGTTAAGGGAGACCCTTCTGAAGCTCGGCTTTCCCGAGGAGAAAGTAGAGGATTCATTAAAACATCTCTTACACTATTTTTCTGGTAATTTTGCCACTGTCAATAGGGAAATTGTGTGTAATCTGGACGAGGCTCTAGACTGGCTGGCAATGCACTGCAACCCCAAGGAACTACCGTCTTACACTCAAACCAATGCTCAGCTGCGCAAAGATGAAAAGAATCTTTCCTGGATAACCGGTAAACCTAAAAAAATGACTAGCATCTACGCAGTGACTGAAGAGAGCTAACCGGCATCAGATCGTGAGCCAGTACAATCTTCTACTCTAAGCTTGACTCAGAATGGTAGCAAAGTGAAACAGACCAAAGGTCCATCAAAGGAGCCTCTTCCTCCTATATTGAGCCCTTATGATTCTGATAGTTCTCTGGATCCTGACACTTTGCTGCCAAAGTACATGGAATTGCAGACTCAGCTATATAATCTTCAACCTGAAATCTTTGATAGGCCTAAGAAGGGGAAAAAGCCTACTCGTGAAAGTACTGGGCTTGATACCAATGAACCCCGAGTAGCGAAGATTCGCCGAAAGATTGCCAGCATTGAAAATGATGTCCTTTTCGACCGCACGGAAGCTGAGTACCGGTGGAAAGAGAAACTCGATGATCTAAGAAAGGAGGCGGCTTTTTTCAGGCAGAATCCGCCCGTCGAGCAAACTTCCCTTGACGAGCCCGGAGCCAAAGAACAGCCAGAGGAAAAGGTGGCGGAACCCAAGTCCGACGTGCAGCCGGTCGATGACGAGGAGATTGCGGATCTCTTAGGGGACATGTTCCAAGCCGAGGAGCCAGCTTTGGAGACAGGTGTTATTCTTGAAGAGTTGAACAAAGCCTCTATCACGATCCGTGACTTCGGTAAATGGACTGGACTTAGTCCTCGACGAGTTTTGGAAGATACATGCAAGGCAAGGTATGCAAATGTCTTCCGTGGATGAGAATAGGCTTTGCTGACGGTAACGGTACATCTTAGGGATACCAGTTGTGCAATCATTTTCAAGGACTTCTCTTCTGTACCACACTCGAACAGAAAAGCGGTAGAGGTGAGGTGGTCCAAACCACAGGATGTGCCATTTCTGTTTGAATGGGATAAAGTCACACACAAATCTAGCGCTTATGCCACCTTTGTCTCCATGGACACGATAGCAACACCAACTACACAGCAAGCGGAGGCATTTGTCTCGATGCTTGCTCTTTTTATCCTGTTCCCACAGAATTCGAAAGAGGGCAAGGCTTATCTGCGGCTTCCAGCGGTGTGGAGGGAGCTTTGGACAGAGTTCGCGAGTGCGAAAAAGCTCCAAGAGGACGAGATTGATAAGAAGACAATAAAGCATCTGAAGAAGCTGATACAGGAGAATCAAGGTAACTCTGAAGATGATGTGGTGCTATCAGATAATTTTCGGAGAAGAAATGGGACCTCTAGCAAGCCAGAGTCTCCAGCCAGGTTATCCAATGCAAGGGAAGCTTCAGGCCCCGAGTCTCAGTTGCAAAGGATTTGGATGGAGAAGTCATCGACTCCTTCGTTCAATAGTATGATGCAAGGCAGGATGAATCTTCCGATTTGGGCTTTCAAAAAAGATATACTCAATACTCTTGATACCCACCGTGCGCTCATCATTTGTAGTGAGACCGGTAGCGGAAAGAGCACGCAGATACCTTCATTCATCCTTGAGCATGAAATGACACAGGGCCGTCCTTGTAAGATTTATGTGACGGAGCCTCGAAGGATCTCTGCTATATCATTAGCGCGAAGGGTTAGCGAAGAGTTAGGAGAAAGCAAAAATGATGTTGGGACAGCCCGCTCGCTCATTGGGTTTGCTGTCAGGTTAGAGAGTAAAGTCAGCCAGTCGACAAGACTAGTATTTGCGTAGGTTCACCGTCTACAACTCGTTTCTGGAGTTTATACTGACCCGAGTTAGGACAACTGGTGTTGTGGTGCGTATGCTGGAACGCCCGGACGATTTCCAAGATATCACGCATGTCGTCCTTGATGAGGTTCACGAGCGTTCAATCGACAGCGACTTCCTTCTCATAGTCCTCCGTCGACTGATGCAGAGGCGGCCTGATCTAAAATTGATATTAATGTCGGCTACCCTTGAAGCTCAAAGGTTCTCTAACTACCTCGGTGGTGTGCCTGTCCTTAATATCCCGGGACGAACTTTCCCTGTGGAGATGAAGTTCTTAGAGGATGCCGTGGAGATAACCAATTACCGCCTGTCAGAGAATGATTCGAATGCTAATCTCGATGAAGACACCGACGAGATGGCGCCAGAGAACGCTGAAGGTGATACCACAGGAGGCATGCTAGCGTCCCTTGAAGGTTATTCTAAACAGACCAGGGATACTGTTCTGAACTTTGATGAATACCGCCTTGATTACCAGCTAATAAAGAAATTACTTATCAAGATCGCTACAGCCCCGGAGATGGCGAACTACAGCAAAGCTATATTGATCTTTATGCCTGGCATGGCGGAAATCCGCCGCCTGAACGATGAGATTCTCTCGGAACCGACCTTCCAACAGGGATGGATCGTCCATGCGCTGCACTCTTCAATTGCCAGTGAGGACCAAGAGAAAGCATTCATTGTTCCTCCAGAAGGCATGAAGAAGATAGTAATTGCCACCAATATCGCCGAGACCGGTATGTGTCCCGCTATTTCTAAGAAGTGGTTATGTCTGCCACAGGTTGTTGACTTGAGTAGGTATCACGATTCCGGATATCACTGCCGTCATTGACACGGGCAAGGAGAAAACTATGCGGTGAGTCTCTCTGATCCCACACCACACCTGTATCTTGCTAACTGACACTATGATAGCTTCGATGAGAGACGCCAGCTCTCAAGATTAGTTGAAGCCTTTATCTCGCGGGCTAATGCGAAACAAAGACGGGGAAGAGCTGGGCGTGTTCAGAACGGAATCTGTTTTCACATGTTCACGAAGCACAGACATGAAAAATTGGTACGCTATGTTGAGTTCAGGCAGAAGATACTCCACTAACGTTGTATAGCTCGCTGAACAACAAACGCCAGAGATGCTTCGTCTCTCTTTGCAAGATTTGGTGCTACGGGTGAAGATCTGCAAGCTGGGAGAAGTGGAGCCCACTCTTCTTGAAGCCCTGGACGCGCCTTCTTCCAAGAACATCCGCCGCGCTATAGACTCTCTCAAGGAGGTCAAAGCTTTGACAAATTCAGAGAACTTGACTCCGTTGGGTATGCAGCTTGCTAAGCTGCCGCTGGACGTCTTTCTTGGGAAACTAATCATTCACGGGGCCTTCTTCAAGTGTCTAGATGCCTCTATTAGTATCGCCGCTATTCTCTCTTCTAAATCGCCCTTTGTTAATACCATGGGATCCAACACTCAGAAGGACCTTGCAAGGCTCTCGTTCAAGAAAGGTACTGCCTATATTAGTCGGGCCTATATCCACGTGCTGACATTTTCGCAGGCGACTCTGATCTGTTGACCGTGTATAATGCATACTGCGCCTGGAAACGCACGAGAAACACACCTGGCGCTAACGAGTATGCTTTTTGTCGGAAAAACTTTCTAAGCTCCCAGACACTGTTAAATATTGAAGATATCAAGATGCAGCTTATCGTGTCTATCGCCGACGCAGGACTTTTGAATCTAGACCCTACCCAGAAAACGGCTCTGAACAGGTATATCATATATCGCACCCATCACGCCTCTCCTACACTACCTCTATTTTTTTGATCGCGCAGCTAACATTCATGCAGAGCTCGATACCTCGGTCGCCAGCGTCAATTCTTCACCATCCCTGAAGAATACGATATCAACAGCAGCAGCGACGTCATTGTCAATGCAGTCATTGCTTGGAGCTTTTATCCGAAGCTCCTGACACGCGAAGGCAAAGGCTGGCGGAACGTTGCCAACAACCAAGCTGTTACACTTCACCCGACCTCAGTCAACAAACAAGCCGATGCATCCATGAAATGGCTGTCGTATTATCACATTATGCAGGGCCGGAACCGGAACTACAACGCTTTCGAGACGAACGCCGTGGACGACTTTGCCATTGCACTGTTGTGCGGCGAGGCGGAGTTCAAGGTAAGTTGAGCTTCCCAATATTCTAGACATGGACCTGGCATCTAATCCAAATGTAGATGTATTCCGGTGTAGTCTCAATTGACGCCAACCGAATCCGCTTCGCGGTTCGAGATTGGAAGTCCATGCTGGCGTTGAAAATCCTTAGCGCTCGCATACGGGACATCTTATCCGGGACATTCCGGGATCCACAGAAAAAGCTGTCTTACAAGCAGCAGCAGTGGGTACAAATCTGGCAGCAGATATTCACGCAGGTGGGAAAATGAAAGGTATCGGTGCTATGAAGGACCCAAAGCGGTTCTATGTTTGTTTTTTGTAGGTAAATGAACATACCATGCATTGCATTAGAGCCAGGATATGGATACACGGCGATGGCTCATGGATATACAAAAGTATACAAAGAATTGTTTGCATAAATTTTCAGTAAGAACCATCTATCAAACTCCTATAGTCCAATTGTATTGCACTGACCGGTCCAGAGATCAGCAACGAATAGAGCAGAATATGTTAACTAGTATCATCTTTAGTTCTCATTAAGTTAGAGATACGAAAATCTCTCAAAGATGGGAGAGACAAAGCGAAAAAAAAGAAAAGAAAAGAAGAAAAGAAAAAGGGAAAAAAATAAAAAATAAAATAAAATTACCCCATACTCAACTTAAGCCAAACCTGTAAACACCGCACGCAGTTTCCATCTTAGGAAACTCATTCTCTCAACTACAGATCCTCCAAATTCACCTTCGGGCTTCCTTCTTCCAATATAAATTCAAGGGCCGCTATCGTTAACATTCTTATTCACCCTCTTTGTTCCCATAGGCTATACAAACTGTGATCAAAAACAAAACCCCAACAGCCAGCTTGAACCCATATCCCACCCACCATCAAGACCCCCAACCAAAGCCTCCTCAGAATGACCACCAAACCAATCGACAACAATAACCATGAGAGAAGCCGAAAGCAAGAGGGAAAATATGAAAATGAAGAAGAAACAATGACCAACGAAACAGCCCTTTCCCCAAGCTACGACAAAGAAGTCCGAATCGCGTCCTTAGCAGTCCACCGCGCCAGCATCCTCACCAAAATCGTCCAAAGAGAGCTTGAGATAAGTTCCATCCACAAACCCGACGGTTCCCCCGTGACTGTTGCCGATTTTGCCGCCCAGGCGATCCTCGTCAGCATTCTTCGTCATTACTTCCCGAATGATATGTTTGTGGGCGAGGAGTCTGCGTCTGTGTTTCGCGATGACCCTGTGCTTGTGCGGCGGGTGTGGGAACTTGTGTCTACGATGACATGGATTGATGATGATGGTGATGGTGGTCGCGCTTTGGTCGCGGTGCCACGGTCTATAGAGGAGATGCTGTGTGCAATTGACGTTGGGGGCGATGGAGATGGAGCTGGGAGTCAGCGGACCTGGTTTCTTGATCCGATTGATGGGACGGAGACGTTTATACGGGGCCAGCAGTATGCGGTTTCGGTGGCGTTGGTGGAGGATGGGGAGCAGAAGGTTGGTGTAGTCGGGTGTCCGAATCTAGCGTTCAAGAGCACATCTATCCATGAGGCGATCATCGATAAAGACGGGTACGGGATGATGTTATTCGCTGTCAAGGGTCAAAGTGCGTACAAGCGACGGATAACCCTGTCCAGCTTGGGGCCTTCGCAGAAGACTTCTCTGAGTCCATGGCAAAGAATGGGGGAGAAAATCACATTCACTGAAAGCTTGATCAGCGGTGTTATCCATCAGGAGAAGCACAAGTTCATTAGGGACATACTACTCGCCAATCCGGTAGTAGACCTTTATTCTATGCAAGTCAAGTATGTGGCCCTAGCAATTGGTGCATGCAACGCGATGATCCGCCTTCCCAAGGCCAAGGACCACCGGTTCCCTGCATGGGACCATGCTGGGGGGATGCTCATCTTTGAGGAATCAGGCGGCAAGGTTACCGACCTATATGGTCGACCTTTCAACTATGCTCATGGGAGAAGGCTAGCTGACAATGAGGGTTTGGTGGCAGCTAAACCAGTGCTTCATACCGACCTCTTGCGCTATTCACGTTATGTTTATGAGAGACATAAGTCTAAGCCATGCGTGAAACCAACATGATTACGGGCGATTGAGCAGATGGTCAGTGCGTTTTCACAGCATGGTCGTATCAGTGTATGAAAAGTAGTTTACTGGAAAGAGTGAATTTTGAAACCCTATAGTATTTTTCTTTTAGAATAAACCCATACATAAAACACTAACAGAACCCAGGGCCTACTGGCCCTTGATGCATGAATGGAGAACAAGCCACAGCAGTATAAAAACTCGTAAAAGGAAATTCGTCTCATCATGGTCGTTAAATATAGCCTGTCGGAAAATTGCAATAGCACAAGATGACCAGAAGCACCATAACGCTGACCAACCCTCATCCATAGAGAAAGCGAGAAAAGCAGGCCGGCGGAATTCCACCACTGCAATGACAACCCAAAGCGCACACCCTTTTGTGGCCAAAAAGGGGAAAACTCAGATATTATAACGATCGTAGCCGGACATCCATACCGTTTTCGGTGTAATGTCCCATCTCTAGCAATTACCCAACATAAGCACGCTGAAAAGAAACGACTCGACAACATAACGTAGCATGCTCTCTGAAATGCAGATGTGGTGTAACCAACTGCTGATGAGAAACCAATCATCCCGTTCGAAAGTGCCGAGTCGTAAGAATGTGTAGTCTATTCAAGATGTAAGGAAAATGAAAACCCTGCAATGCATTTGAACAAGACAAGGGATTCGGAGGTCACCCTTCACGGTCAGAAAGGAGTATCATGGTCTTCCTCTGTGTTTTTAAGACTTTTTTTTTTTGTTTTGTTTTTTTTTTTTTTCCTTTGGTCCTCCGAAGCCCGTAGAATCATGGGGATACCTCTTGAAGGCTTTAGCGACGGCGAGACATAACACCACCGGCCTTCATGGGTTGTAATCCAAGTGGTAATCCTCCAACCGGACCACCAACCGTCGCTTCAGTCAAAGTCTTCCGGCGCTTACTCTCAAATTCCGCGCCCCGACTATCTGGCCGAACTATTTGGTCCACATCGTCATCCTCCCGCAAACGCTTTCCTGACCCCAGAGGTCCGTTCATCCCCGTCGAGTACCCAGGTGCTGGATTCGACGCGACAGAGTAATTATCAGTCGTTCCGTTCGCCGCCGCACCGCGAGCTTCGCCAACACTGTTGTAAAGACTGCTGATAGCAGCGGGTCGGGGAGGCGTACTGTATCCTGAGGCCCATTGGGGAGGCGCTCCGCTTGTACGGGGGGTCATGCGTCCGGACCCGTTCTGTTGCGAGGGGGAGCCAGACATGTCAGACGCGAGTTGAGAATGATCACCCGCCAAACTTCCAACAGAAGGGTTGGTAGTGTATGTATAAGACCCGCGGTTTGCGTTATAGGCTGCACTATCATGTTGCACGTACTCGGGCTCATGCTCGGGTACAGGCTCACCTGCTCCGCTGCCAACATGTCCATTAGTCTGAGAGTACCGGTCAGCCTTCACATCAGCTTGCTCTACATCTGGCGGTCCCCCTGAAGACCTTGCCGTCGGAGGCGCCATATCGTTCTTAATATACGTATTGGCGGGCATAGTCTGGCCGTAAGGGGCCATAGGTTGGGACAAGGGTTGCTGGGGAGCATATTGGGGGTGGGATGGAGGAGCGGCGGAGTAGTACGATTTCGAGCTATCGTATCCGGACTGACTCTGATATGGTTGCATCCCTTGCATATTGCTGCCTGGGGGAGTTGTGGCCGGAGTGGTAGGCATCGATCGTGCGTTACTCAACGTCGTGTCAATCGATAGAGGTTGTGTGTTGGGCACACCCGAGTTCATTCCCTGGTTCCCCCACTCATAGGAGCTCCCCTGGTTGGTGATACCCATGAGACTGGACGCACTGGCAGGAGGGGTCGGGAAAGTGTGGGCGCGATCAAGACCAGGCCTGGCAGCAGACTGGGTCGTCATTGCGTGAGGCTGAGACATGTGCGATGGAACCGGGGTTTGGAGCGAGTGATGATGATGCAAGGCAGGGGGTTGTGGGCCCTGTGAAGCCCGCGTGGCTTGAGGACCTTCTAACCGCCGTTGCTGCGACTCTTGCACAACCATATTTGTCCGGGTCTGGTTAGTGGGATGGTACAGAAGACCTCCGATATTGTGCACAAACAAAGGGTATAAAAGGTCTGTGATCTTCTCTTTGTTGGCAAACTCCAAGGCGCGCTCGAATGGGATCCTGGAAACTTGGTTAGAATCATATAAAGGAAACAGACTCAGACGACCATACCAAACTCCCTTCAGGTGCATTGGACCAATCTTGACTACATGACGGATCTTTTCGCTCTTGAGAATCCCGTCGCGGCGACCTCTAGTCATGCCAGCCACGTTGAGCAGCTTGGTCCCGTTTATCATATGATTGTCTGCATGAAGGTCAGCCACAAGATTTTCAGGAACACGAAGACATTGATTGGGGTACTCACCTTCCCGGCGGGCAACACAGACTCCTCTAGCTTCAACTTGGTAGCAAAGACTGCCTTCGTCCTCCCACAGGGTGGCTGTGACCCGTGGTTTGGCACCAGGCGGAGCTACTTGACCTGTAGCATCGTACACGTAGCCTTGCATAGGCGTTCCGGTATTGTTTCCATATCCCGGAGGTGCAACTGTGTGGCTGGAAACTAATGGGAAAGTGTTATTAGTATCGTACTATAAAAGCAATATTTTGAGAGATATACCTGGCAATGGTAACAGCTGGGCTGGGACCTGGCTGCTCACTGATGTTGTCGGAGGCTGCGGGCCAGGTTGGGACGATGTGACACCGCCAGGATAAGCATATTGGGAATAGGAACTGGCGGGGCCATAGGTAGTCGACGCCGGCTGCAATACAGGCGGTTGCTGATGATATTGAGGGTAATGGGCGATTCCACCAGCAGTGGCCGCCTGAGAAGCATAGGGCTGTGCTGATGACAAATGCGATGAGTGGACATCCATGTATGGTTGTGTATGGTTCATGCTGCCAATTGCTGTTGGGTTGGGATAGTAGCTATCACCCACGGTGTTTTGCGGGATGGAATACTCCTGCGGAGCGGAGGAATCCAGAGAGAGCCGGCCCTGACCACCAGCCGCTAAGTCCGCAGACTGCGGGGGGCTCCTGGCCTCGTTGATGACGGGTGCGGTTCCGGATAGGCTTGTCCGAGCACTCGCGTTATGGGATGCCGAGGCCTCTTCGTAGCTAGTCCGATAGGACTGGCCCGAGATTGGCGGCTGCGAGGCCGTCGGTAAACTGAGAGCCGGGAGTTTGTCGCCAGACAATAAAGGTCTCTCAGCAGCGTGGTGATTATACCAAGGGATATCAACAGGACCTCTGGTGTGGACCTGGGAAATCGACGGCAGCTCCAGCTTTTCGGTTTGTGGGGGTAACGGTTCTAATAAACGAAGTGATTCGGAATTTCTAGCCGTTGGATTCAAGTGTCTCCAACGTGCCACAATAATGATTTTTTTTTTCCTTTTTTGTTTTTCTTTGTCGTCGTAGTTCCGGTCAGATCAGAAAAGTGCGAGTCGTCGACATGCAAGTGAGGCAACTATTTAATTCGTCAAGTACAAAGGAAACCGATATCGATGCTAGCACCGAGTTTAGAGCGAATGCAGATATGTCGTCAAGGAAAAATGGATAGCTTCAACAATGCAGGAAATGCAAAGTGCAATCGTGGTAAGCTCGTTGAAAATCGTAACCGTAAAACGCTGTAAGATCGCTGGCGTAACTGGACCGAGAAAATCGCTATGCAGCGTGAACGGGCAGAAATCTACATCCAATTATGTACGAAGATTGGAGTGATCAGACGCAAAACCATGAAAGTCAGGTAAAATAGCGCGCTTGCGGCTGGACAACAGAAATCGCTCAACCAAATCAGAAGCACGAAATCATGGGTCTCGTATCAAGTCGTAAGAAGAGCGCGGGGAAGGGCGACGTGACAGTCCAGCATCAAACGTCGAATGCTTCTCTGGTGACTTGGACGCAGTTTCGTACTATCGACGAACAAAACACGCACAAGTAGGCAAAGTGCTCGCTTTTCTTATTCTCGTTGCAACCAACAGAGGGAACAAGCTCGTAGTGATTCGTAACAGGTCGTAGCAGGTCGTCGAATATACCGTGCTGCTTCAAGGTGAACAAGGGTACAGTCTAGATAAAATAGATAAAACAGAGGTAAGCAGGGCATTCAAGTCATCACAACAGTCGTCTCGAACAAGAATAATAGAAAAAAGAAAAGGGACGGTGCTTGTAGCAGGAGAGGATCTCAAATGGAAAGTCGGGAGGATGTATAAAAGGTGTCAAACGAAAGGGATGGTGGTGCACTAACAAGGCGGACAAGGGAGACTGGTACCGTGAACAGGGAGAAGATCAGAAAATAGAAATTCAAAATTCAGACCAAGAAATACGTAA